CGTTTAACAAACAGGAACCTTAGTATGTGGAAGGCATCGACAGAGAAGAATTAGCAAATTTTTCAACATACATTCACAACTTGACTGCTCAACCGACAAACACATTTTCCTAACAAATGTGCCACCATGTAAGAGAAAAACACTTTCCAACAATACAAGATTTATTACTAAGAAAAAGTGCTCCAACAATGAAATAATACACTAAAACACAAATTACCTGATGAACTTTTCTTGTAGTTTTGGATCATTTAAATTTCTTCTCCAGGACATTTAAATAATTATTTTATAATCAAACCACGTCGTGTAAAAATTCAAGCTTTAAGGCAACAAAATGAATCCTAATATTTTAAACGAACTAGAATCCTGCCCAGCAGCTAAAGTAGACCTATTTCCTCAAATTGCGTGAAAACCATAACAAGAATTAGACTGTCACGGTAAGTTAAACTGTCTGTCTCAGCAGGGATCGAGCAGCCTCAGAGGTAAGCATGACTCCCCTGATGCCCCCCCCCCCNACACACACACACACACACACACACACACACACACCCCCACACACACACACACACACACACTCTTATTTATCTCCCCTTTTAGCATAAAAACAACCAGAAGAGAGATTTGTACCAAACCTTACACACTTATAAGTCCAAATCTATTTCATGATTTAAATAATTTTTCTTTTGCTCATGCATCTCCACCAGGTTTAATGACATTCAGCGGAGTTTATTTTTTATTTATTTATTTTTGCTGAATCATCAAAACCAACAGCATCCCCTTTTTAAAAGCTCAAACTGGTCAATATTGTAGCCTGTGTATATCGGGGTTGGTGTAATCCTTTCAAATACTTAATAAAAGGATAGTTCAGCTCTTTAAAGTCAGGTTATGTGAAGATTATGAACAATTAATATTTCACCTCTTGCAGGAAGCTTTTCACTTGCCTCAGTTTGGAGAAAAATCATTTGATTCTGACTTTAGTGAAGAACTAACAGGGTGGGATCCAGACAAACAAAAAAAAAAAAGGCCAACAACTAATCAAAAATAAAGATTTTTTAGTGTAATGTTGATTTATTAACATTTTAACTCTTGTAAAATTCTGGATAAAGTTGTGTTTGATTGAAATTGACATTGCTGGATGATTTAGCTGAAATTAAGTGAAGAAGCTGCATAAAAAAGCAGAACACCTGCTAAAAGAAGCAAAACGCTAAATGTTGGCAAAAATCTAACTCAAAGCAAACTCACAACTCACAGCAAAATGCCATCTAAAAGTGAAAAATTGCAAAAAAAAAAAAATAAAAGGCTAGCTAAAGTTAGCCTATAAGCAGCACTTTGGTAGCCAAAAATGAAAAACAATGTTACACAGATCAATCAGATTTCAAAGATAATGTTTGACTGAATTGAAGAGATCTACATGTGTTTATGTGGGAAAAATGCTTGTTTTTTTAAATTTAAGTAAAATTTCTGAAAAGTGACAAAAACTACAATCACAGCAATCACTTGATGAATGAGCTGACATTTCCATGTACAGTTGGCTAAAATAGAACAGTGTACAGAAGTATTCAGATTACAAAAAATGTACAACAAATAAAATAATACATGAAAACGTTTGCGTAACTGCTGAATCAGCATTCACACTTTTTATGATATGATTCATTTGAGATAAAAGAAAAAGTGAATTTAAATCTGTAAGGAAAACAAAATTAATTTCTACTTTGAACAAGAACCTAATGATGAGAAAAACCAAAGCAACATTTTACTCTTGTAAAACCTGAATGTGGTTCTTTACAGCACAATAACATCTGTGTATATGGGACAAGGAAGTGAAATCATTTGCAGCAATCTGTTTTAAGTGTTAAGCAATTTATTGCTACTGTAAAAATAAAGTGAAAAACGACCATGCTTTAAGTAACTATCAAACCTGCATAAACCTTGTTTTATGCAGCCAACGATCTCGAGAGAGAGACACTACTGAATCGTGGCAAAAAACCTGCTCTGAAAAGACATCAGTGTTTCCTGAGTGGTCCACGGTTCTCCAGGTTCCACTGCCACATTCGTGTGGCTCTGCCCAAACTGAAGTAAACACCAGCTGCATGAATGTGCCAGTGTTGGTTGTTTTTAGGCTCAATAAATGAGATCCTCCAGAGTGCGTAGAGGTAGGCTGAAAGATTTTTAATCGACCGTCAGCCCAGATCCTCCATCGTCGCGCAGGTGTGTTTGGTTTTCATGCGCATCTGGCAGCGCTTTTAACTTGATCTCCGACTCTGAGGCGCATCTGTGGGTGTTTTTCTGAGGGTTCATTATGCCGCCGCCGCTGCTGCTGCTTTTCACATATAGAGGTGGGGGGTCACGCTGCACGGAAGCTGACCCATTGATAACCTCGATGTAAAATTTAAACGAGCAGTTTTTTTAAGCGCTGTCTTCCAAAATGAGCACTACTTTCGGTGTAAAAGAGTCAGGGAGCAATCAATAATTCATTCTGCCCCGCGCTGGAGCAGCACCAGGCCTTGCGTAACCAGGAGCAAATGTTTGTGATGTTTGGCAGAGGGTTAGAACCTCGAAACAGTTCTAGCGTGTTCAAGGACTATTTCTGTTTCTCCTTAAAGGCTCTCCCATATCTCCTCACAATCTGGTATAGCCCCTTGTCTCTGAATTCAGTCTCCAATGAAAAGTCCCTAAACTGCCTCTTCCTGTTGTAAATCTGACTGGAGGAAGCAAACAGGGCTTCACGCATGAAGCATGAAACAGCCGTGCACAGCCTTCAGTGACTCATCTAATGCAGGGCGGGGGGAGGKGGGGTTTGCCTCATTTTTCAGCCCATGCACCGCAGCCTCCTCTGGCTTTCAACAGAACATCTATTCTGGGTCTGTTTCAAGTTGTGTGCAAAAGCTTCTAGATTTAGAGGAGGCAGASTCCCTTTTGTTGTTGTGAGTTTTGGGGATGAGGATTTGTGAAAATGTTTGTCACGACCGCAGCGTCTGCTTATGGTTGTCCTTGTAGGATTTGCAGCAGAGACACGAGAGGAGGAGGAGCAAACGCATGCAGACACAGAAGCATGTATTTATAATACTGTAGCTGTGGTGAGACTCAAAATCTGCAAGTGAAACTCCCCTAAAACTGTTTGAAATTAAAGGGTTAGAGTTTTAGACCGAAATCGTCCTATATTGAGAAATGGAGTTGAAGCTGTTTTGGTCAGACCTTGAAAATAACATGTACATTATCCCACATTATATTGTGAGACGTTACGTTCAAAGCACATGATGTGAACAGACGGGTAGGATTTTTGAAGAAGGTAACAACACTTTAAGCACCTTACGAAGCCAATGGAAGTTTTAATATGTTAATGTCTGGTTTAATCACTCATTTTGCACCATTTGTAGCACTCAATGTATGAGTTCATTATTTTTCAGCTACTATCACACTAAATTGTATCCCAGTAAATTTTAAATTGACTAAAGCCTTTTTGTTTAGTTTTAAGTTCACTTGTCTTTAGTGGCCTGTTGATTTTGAGTTTGCTTTAAAAAAAAAAGAAGAAAGAAAATTGCCTAAAAATATGTCTGAAAAAAGCTTGTTTTCAACACTGTTTTAATATGCCAGATGTAGTAGTGGGTAATAGGCATGTGCTCAAGTTCAACAATATTAGACAAAGAACATCCTGTTCCCATGAAAGAAGCAGGTGAGCCCTTTAGTGGAGGAGGTTTCCCTCTTCAGTTCTGACGTTGATTTATTCTGTGTTGTAGATAAATATCATGCTCAGACATATTTTTGTTTGAAAATATGACAGAAAACGGGATACGTAACGTTAGTCAGGTTTAGGATTTTGTTTTAGGCGTGTTTTCCTAAAGATGAGTAATAATTAAAGATACTTTGTGGCTGGAAGTAATTGAGTCCAAATCTGTCTTAACAGTAAGTCCCATAAGGCTGACAGATTTAGGGTATGTACTGATATAAGATACATGTTTTGCCTCAATTAGGTGAACGTGAACTGCAAAAGCAAGCATTTAAAAATTACAAAGTAGTTCAATAAATCCCCTGCTATTGTTAGACGCCAGGATCGGATCTCACCAAGACCTTGTTGTTGCCTCAGTCATTCAGTGCAGTCTGTTAAAATAATAAAAATAGCACGCTGAATACAAAGGCTGAATGGCCTGTCTGTACTACTACTGCTACAAGACACAACAATTTGTAAGTTCAGAAGTCCCATGAGGCACTTAACAGACAGTTTCAAAGAATAACTTTTTGAGTGCCTCATCATTTTAAAATGTTTGCTTTGGTTTCAGGAAAGATTTCCTTGTGAAGTATTTTCCAAGTTGGTTCACTTTAGTTTTTTTCCATTGCTGTTGCTTTTCTTTCACTGTCATCATTTTTGTGTACTGCCTCATTTGTGGACAGTTAAAATTTTCCATATACTGGCTGTGTGCATGCATGTGTGTGCGTGTGCCTGGTTGTTGTTACCTTTTTAGGACCATTCCTGGTATAAACGCCTACATTGTCRGGACCAGTTTTCCATTTGGGGACCWAAAACTCACCCTCATATTGTGGAATGCCTTTTTTGTGTTAACCCCCCCAAGGTATGAATGGAATGTAGGTATATATATATACATGTATAGGGTTATGTACTGGGGTTGGTTAGTCCTAGGGTCAGGGTTAGGATACAGAAATGACTGGAAATGAATAGAAGTCAAAGCATATTCCTAAAAGAGATAGAAATACAAAATTGTGTGTGTGATTTAAGATGGTATTGTGATKGACAAATGGGACTTCAGATGTGAGGCCTGCAGGGAAAGTGAGACAGATTCACATGCTGGTGCATGCTAGATTTCAACTCAGATCTGGTTCAAAATCAATTAAAAGCCCAACTTGTGTAAGAAATGCACATTGGGTTTAACTGACAGTTAAACAGAGGTGGTTTCACCTGGTGGATTCTAGCATTTGTCATAATTTGATGCAGTAGCTTTAAAAACATTTCATCACTCAAATCAAATGTCTTTGTTCTGTCTCTAAAGGTAAAAATCCCACGGACAGCGGCGCTGCAGGGGACTATGGAGCACCCAATCCTGGACCTGCATTCAAAGAGGTGTGGCAGGTAAAAGTGTGGCCTAAAGGCCTCGGTCAGGCTAAGAACCTGGTTGGCATTTATCGTCTCTGCCTCACCGACAAGACAGTCAACTTTGTGAAGCTGAACTCCGACGCCGCTGCGGTGGTGCTGCAGCTGATGAATGTCAGGCGATGTGGCCATTCTGAAAACTTCTTTTTCGTTGAAGTGGGACGTTCTGCTGTGACTGGCCCTGGCGAGTTCTGGATGCAGGTGAGCTTGTATTTTCAAGTCTTACGTAAGGTTTTATTAGGTTATTAGGTTCACTTGAAAACTTGAATGATTTGTTAACACTCATGGTTCTGTCCTGTCCTCGTTGTTTATTCCATGTCTAAGGTGGATGATTCGGTGGTGGCCCAGAACATGCATGAAACTTTGCTAGAAGCCATGAAAGCCCTGAGCGAGGAGTTCCGCCAGCGCAGCAAGTCCCAGTCAAATTCTGGTCCTGGAGGAGGGGCCACTGCTTCTAACCCTATCAGTGTTCCCTCACGTCGCCACCACCCCAACCCTCCTCCCAGTCAGGTTGGCTTCCTTCGCCGGCCCCGAACCGAGCCTCCTGGAGGAGCTAACTCTGGAGCACCGGTAGCTGGTTCTAGTGCGTCCCCGACACCCCGGCACAGCTTTCCAAGGTCTCGCACCGCCAGTGATGGAGGAAAAGGAGAGGACGGCACAGCGGGATCTACTCCGACCCATGGTGTGAACTCAAGTCCGTCCACTAATGGATCTTGCTCCACCACCCCAATCCTCAGATCAAAGTCAGCACGCTCAGCCCCAACCACAAATGCTAAAACTCCCTTTGCGTTGATGCGCTCCATTTCTACCCCAGCGCCATCCCCAGCCCAAAGCCTGTCGTCCAGCTCTGGGCATGGCTCTGAATTTGGGGGCATGACATCGGCCAGCGCTGTCCTGGGATCTGGTACCTACAGTCGTGTGCCCTCACATCATACTTCTGTCTCAGGCTCACCCAGTGATTACGGCTCTTCAGATGAGTATGGCTCCAGTCCCGGAGATCACACAGTCCTCCCCTCCCTAAGCCTTCCTGGAAGCTCCGCTGGCAGCATTGGCAGCCAGTCCATTGGTGAGGATGGAGCCAACTATATCCTGATGAGCCAACGTTGTGGTGGTGGTCGTGGTAATGCCTGTGGCGGTAACAATCGAGGAAGCTTAATGTCCCAGCCTGCTCCAGAAACATCAGTCATCGGCTCCCAATCTCAAACTAGAAGGGTTCTTAGACGCTCCTCCAGCCGTGAATGTGAAGCCGAACGAAGGTTGCTGAGCAAGCGCGCCTCCTTGCCACCAATGGTACTGGAAAGACTGGCCCCGCGTCAGCACAGAGCTGAGGAGCCTGCGGACGAAGATTCTGCAGATTACGCCATTATGTCGAGGAGTACCAGCCGAGAGTCATTTACTTCTCCCTGCTCTTCTATACAAAGAGAATCAGCCATGGGTACTGGTGTCACAGGAGGTGGGTACTTAGATGTGGCAGGGGAGATAAAAGCTGAAGGAGGTGCAGGAGCRGTTGCTGGAATAGACTTGAGAGTGGACAACGGGTACATGTCCATGCTGCCAGGAGTTACTCAGCCTCCTGTATCCTTGTCCCAATCAATAGCCGTCTCTGTTCCTGACTTAGACTCCAAGCCTGCTGATGACTACATGGCCATGACGCCAAACAACAGCGTGTCTCCCCCACAGCAAATCAGACCTCCACCAGCTTCTGATGGCTACATGATAATGTCCCCCAACAGCAGCTGCTCTCCAGACCAGCGCGGCGGTCTCTCTGAAGGTGCCTGGGTAGGCAGCGGCAGTGCAGACAGCCGAGCCGGCAATGACTATATGAACATGTCTCCAATTAGTGCACCTTCTGTAAATGGCAGCCCCCCATCTTCTGAGCACAACTGCCATTTAGAAACCAGTTTGCAGCAACACCCCCCAAAGATGGTGTATTCCTACTACTCCCTTCCTCGGTCGTATAAGCATAACCCCACCTCTGGGCACTTTGATGATGGGCCTGGACGGGGTAGAAGGCCCAATGGAAGTTGTAGGGAAATGGGTGGTCGAAGAAATATTGGAGGGCATCAAGAGCAACCAGCAGGCAATACAGTGGGAGGACGCCATCAATCACTTTCTTCATCCTCATACTCTTCAAGCTCAGCCAGCAATGAGAGTCTTGGGGAGATGGAGGATCGGTCTACCAAGGCGTTGAGTAATGTGACAAGTGGGTCCAAATCCAAAGAGGGAAGCAAGGCTGCACAGAGAAGGGGATCTGATGGGTTGTCTAAGCAGGGTAGTCATACTAGAAGTAGACCAGTGAGTCTCTTTGTTGATGTATCAAAGGCTAACACTCTTCCTAGGGTCCGTGAGAACCCCTTACCACAAGAACCTAAGAGCCCCGGTGAATATGTAAGCATTGAATTCAAAGGGGAAAAATACAACCATACTGGGGTTAGAGTAGGGCGAGGCAGGGGGCCGAGGCATGGATCACTGCTGCCTCATGGCTCAAATAGTCAGCATCCTCAAAACAGACCAACTTCCTGTGTAGGGAACTTCATACCCCTCTCTCAGAGTCCTTCTACCCCAGTCACTCCCCCATCTGCCTCGGAGTATGTCAACATGGACTTGGGTCCTTCTCCGTCCCCTTCACCCCATTCTCTCACCCCAATAGTTTTCCCTCCTTTCAACACCCCTCCCACACCTGCAGCTCTCCCTCACGCCCCTAAAACTGTTACAGAGGGTCCTGCAAGTCTTCGTGAAGTGTGTCCTGAAGTGGCTGAGTCCACTCTTAGGAAAAGCAGAGAGAGCGTTCCATCAGTGTCTGAGTCTGAATCTCCTATATCCTGCGGGGACTACACAGAGATGGCCTTCAGCCTGAACAACAACACTGTTCCTCGAACATCACCCAGCGTCTCCCCCAAAGTTCCATCTCCCACCAGGACCGACCCACCTGTTTCCCTGTTGTCACGAGGTCTAGATTTCCCACTATGCAAATCAGGACCCAACCCCGACCAGGGAGCTAAAGTAATCCGTGCTGACCCCCAAGGACGCAGACGACACTGCTCAGAAACCTTTGTTGCCTCACCTTCCCTCCCCACCTCTACGTCCACTTCTTCTTCAACTGCCTCCCTCTTTCCAGAACATACCCAGGCTGTGAGCCGCCGCCTCGGGTTTGAAAGCATGCTGTGGGGGAACGGGGCTGTTTCAGATCCCTCCACCCAACCCCCTGCCTCTGGAAACAATCAGACTTCTACAGAGCAAGGTCTTAACTACATAGACTTGGACTTGGTCAACAAAGAGAGTCCCCACGCTGGCCTAGATGGGTCCTCTGGAAGCCAGCCCCAATCTCGGCTCTTCTCTGTAGTGAGTGCGGGTTCTGGAGTCAGGGGAGTTGGCGCAGCTGCCGGTGGAAGCAACAGTTTGAGCCTCAACACATACGCCAGCATCGACTTCTTCAAATCTGAGGAGCTGCGGACGCATCAGAACGGAAACAAAGAGGGAACAGGTGTGTTTTGCGTATCTTTCTATTTAGTTTCTCATCTTTTCTTTTTCCTGTCACCATTTAGCATCTTTTTATTCTTTCTGTAAGTGTGTTTGTATCACAGTCAAAGTCAAAAGAATATACTTGTAGGTAAACCAGTGGAGCACAGACTCCTGTCTTCTGTGCTTGTAATCTAATTTAAACTGACRTTGAATTAAAACGTGCACAGCTGTCTGTATAACTCTGAATATGAGGCATAATTTGGCTCCTGCAACAATAGATAAATTGATTTTAGTGTCTGGGCCTTGATGTACCCTTTACTCTTTACCTGATGTGATTAGATGAGGTGTTAAACGCCAGATAGTCTGTTGGAATATTGATAAAGATCAATGGGCCTCTTGCAAGAACATGTTTGTATTCTTATCCTAAATTTCTCTTACTTTTGTTCGTACAAAGGGTTCGTACGAACATGCCACGTCAGATTCACCAAACTTCTATCTTCAGGAAAAGTGTGTAAATGAGCTGCGTAAATTCCACCTGTTCGTATCCAGCTGCTCGTGCACGCAAGAGGAGATTAGCATAATTACCACCCCAAAAACACCATATAAGGCTATGTTTCCTACCTCAGGTACAAGGAAGTGTCCATTCATGAAAAATAACAGCGAAAACTAAAAAGAAGAACTTTACGAGTTCAGAGATTGAAGTCCGTCTGTCAGAGATCCAGAAAAGAAAATCTGTCATTTTTAGCAGGTCAGCTGTGGAATAAAAAGAGCTGCTAAAAGTATAAACAACTGTGTTAAATCATTTTCATTTATTCAGAAGCCACAGCGTTGCGCACCTTTGTTTTCGCAATTTTAATTTTTCCTATTTAGTTTTAAAACAACAAAAAAATAAATGCCAGATTATTTGTTTTTTGTAGTTTTAATGCGGGAAAGCCAAAGGACAAGCCATACAGTGATTCTGTACTTTGTTTTAAAGTTCAGTTAGGCAATTTTTCATAAACATTAAAAAAAATGTAAGCRTCAATTTATTAGATTTAGTTCATGATTACCAAGCTGTTTATACAGCATATTTAAATTAAAAAGAACAAAGGATTTACTGCTTTATCACAGTTAACAATACCTTATTTTATTTTATTTTTCAAAATTTCATTTTCAAACACAAATGCAGCTATTTTCAAATTTGTGTAAATTGTTTTTTTTTTCTGTTACATGAATCTTTGTTTTGAAATAATCATCTAGCTTAAACATTTTATAAATGCAGCCAATTATTTTTCTGTTGGGTTTATTTGTTTAAGTGTCGTTTGAAATCATTTGTAGGAGAGAGCGCCGTAACCTGATTAGTTAAAAAGTGACAAATATTAGAATTCTTTAAGACAAAGTGGAATTAAAACATCTTAATGTAAAATTTAAGCATCATAATTGACAAAGTAAACTGCAGTCAGTGTAGCAGAACAACAAAACAAGGTCTGCAGCCCGGGCTAGTTTGATTCTTTGATGTCATTTTTCAAAAGTTGCCTGTTACAGTGTTTAAAAAATAGATTTCACCAACTTCCTACTCGTTAAAACACAGGGTACAGCTGCTGCAGCAGTATGAGTAATAATTTTAATTGTCTGCAGTTGCTCTGCTACTGTAGTGCTGTAATTTCATTGTATTTTCTCTGTTTTCTTCTTTAAGAAGAAGTTTTTCCAGACTGTTTTGGGTTTGGGGTGGGATGAGGTGATCATTACAGCTAAACAATAACTCAGCAAAATAGTTGAGACGTTTCATCATATAAAAAAAAACTCTTTGAACTACCATCTGCAACAAATGAGACCTTTTTCTGTATGTTTGCTCAGTTTATTCAAGAAGCAAGGTTTAAACCAAGATGTGGATTTATATGGATTAGAAGACAGTAACCTTCCACAGTGGGTCTTTTATGAGGAGACTTACTGTACGTTGTGTTGGAGTTAAACCTCCCGGGGTTTAGTGGTAAACTCAGCTCCACGGGTGGATTTAATGAAGAATTTGGGGCATTAGCAAAAAAAAAAAGAAGAAAAAAATCATTGTTTCTTGTTGGGAACACAGCATCTCTGAAGTCATACAGATGTTTTTATAGATTCTTCGGACAGATGTGAACAACCAGCCTGCTTCCTTGTGTCTCCATGTTGGATTTAATTAGAAATGATGGGCACTTTGCTAAAAGCAGGATGGTGTTTTGGGAGTATTTTGAGTAGAGATGCTCGTAGGCCACCACCACCGCAGTGGGACCATATGGGGCTGTGGCTGCAGAGAATGGCAGTGGGGCAGCATGGGGGTGGGGGGTGGGGTGTTACACATTGGCTGTGAATGTTGAGATGGGGCCAGCTCACAAATGCCTTTGTACGGTATCACCCCCCCCCCCCCCCCCTTTTTTTTGTTTTCATCTCTCCATTCTTGCCTCCCCCTCTTTCCTCCTCCATTAAGCGACCCTTTTGTTTGACTGTGTTTGCCGCGGTGGGCTGGCAGGCCTCGACAGGGCCGAGACCGGAGGACTCTCCTGAGACGCTCGCAGCCTGTAATTTTCAACTTTACTGTTGGGAATATTTTCCCCCATTTTCATTCCTTACTCCGGTTTTTGACTTGCCCTTATTCATTCTTCTCATCGTTTGTCCTCGTCTGACATCAAGGCTGATGGATTTTTGGGATTCCTTTCCTCTCCTTGTCAATACTCGAGCTGTTGTTCGACTTTTTTTTTCTTTCTTTCTGCCCCTTAAAACGTTTTGATCCTCCTCCTTCATGTCACGTTTCAGTCCACTCTTTAAAACTGCTTCTCATAGCCATCCTGAGCTAAATAAAGCAACAAGAAAAAAAAACGTAAAGGAGTGTGCTTCATAGTTTGGAAGATGTATTTGTGTTTTTATGGTCTGTAATTACAGGTTCTTACCTTCCTCCCTGCAGCTATAAGCTTATGTAGAAAAAGACGGCGTGTTTGTCAGTGGGGTGCTCTCCTTTGGCTCTGAGGGCCGGAGGACAGAATTGAACATCAGTTGTGAGGACGCGTGCCAGAAAGAATCCTATTGGACATGGGTTATGTAATGTGTGCAAGTAACCTCATGGTTCAGATAATGAGAAGCACAGTGAACTGTTTCACCCTCCGAGTGCTGATAGAAAATAATGTCAAGTCAGACAGTTTATACTGATTTTTCAGGATGAAATCAATAATTCCTCAAAAAAAAAATACGAAAGAAAGAAACGTGAAATGTTCTTAACTCCACTTCTCTTAATCAACCAAATAATGCATTTCTATTATCTTCTTGAACGACAAAATACACCCAATAATAGGACTCTTTTTTTTCCTCTTCATAGATTGTTTATCAAATCTTAATGAGAGGTAATTATGCACTAAGATCTAAATCTACCAACCCCCACTTTAAGAACCAAACAAACATTTAAACCAGGGGCGTCAGACTCATTTTCACCTAGGGTTGTCAAAAGTAATCAACTTAGGCTAAACACAAAACGTCACAGTCCTTATCTTGTGCCATGGCTTTCTGCTAACAAACAATAACTGAGCTCTACCTGGTATTTCCTGCATAGAAACAATTTTTAACATGTCCTCTTATAAATACTGAAAATTACTACATGTACGACTGAATAAATGTGAAATAAATTCTACAGAATTAAAAGTAAGAGTTTTGTTCACTGAGTTGTGAGTAGCTGCCATCTTGAATTCGGAACTCTCCCACTTTCCAACAGGGAATTCTCCCTGTAGGGGCATTCCAGTTAAAATTTACGACTTGCAAGTTGGAGATTCCCACTTCCCAGGACAACGTGTTCGCAGCAAAAGTAATTAGCAAAAATGCGGTGAAATGGAGATTTTAGGCACCCAGTTTTACTATCTGCCTGATACTTTTAAACCCTGCGCACCCCTRAAATTTCGCAAGTAAAAGAATCGACATGCGTGGACCATTAGGATTGTAGATGAGATTTTTTATAAATATCTAAGCTATGAATCTGCTTTTTGAGCTTATTGAATTTGCACAATTACAATGCCATTTTCAATTTTCACAATCTCAGTGTTTTACCGGTTGACCTGTGACCCAGAAGGACTAGGCTTTACCATGTGCTCAAAAAACTACAAAATGGTCTATTGTGGGAGATATAGATTATTGTCAAAGATGTCTTTAAAGCAACATAAACTTATTTTAAGAAATGTATGCATCTCTATAGCTCTCGTGGGCCACAAAAAATGCCATGACGGGCCACATTTGGCCTGCGGGCCTTGAGTTTGRCACGTGGAGTAGACGGTAATTGAAATAGTGCAGTGCTTGGAGTGTATGAAGATGTTTGAGATACCAAAAAAAGGAGAAAATCAGTCAGTTTACTGCAACTGATAGTCATCGTGACATTAAACAATTTCTGTTACATGTTTTTCCTAAAACTGAAGAAATGTAAAAGAAAAAACACWTTTTTATATTCAAGTTAGAGATTTTTGGAGTTTGAAAGACAGATGTCTTATATAACGTAGTAAAAAAAATCAAGATATTGTTCAAGTAAAGCTGAAGTGTAAGTAGGTCCTCAGTTTTTACATCACACAGCACAYGTCGAAGCGTTTGTTCCTCTGCAGAAAACAGTCTGCTTGAGTAYGACGGGCTTGTCTGGCCGAGCTCGTAATCTGACACTAGCTCAGCCTGACAGCAGTAGTAACGTTATGTAAAACACAACCACCACGTGGTGGAGGACGTGAACCCCTAAGAGGGTTTGGCTCAGGACGCGGTGCATAAATACACGTCTGAGCGAGAATTTCGGACACTCTTGTTGCTCCGCTAAGATGTTTTGCTCTGTGCTGGAGGCAGAACGCTGCTCTCTGCTCAGCTTTAAGTGCATGCAGATGTGCAGCAGGAGCGACAGCACCGGACACGTGGAGGCTAAACCCAAAAGGTTGATGTGCGACCAAGAATCCTGCAGCATTTCATTTGAGCTTAATAGGTTAGGCGTTTTTAAATTCTGCATTTTCAGTTTAATTTCCATGTATTCATTCAGCATGACCTACTTTAAGGTCA